TTATCAAAAATTTCGCTAAAATTGCTAAACCTTTAACCGAATTATTAAAAAAAGATTCTGTTTTTAATTGGGGTATAAAATGCGAAAATTCTTTCCAAATTCTTAAAGATAGTATAACTTTTCCACCTGTTCTCCAATACCCAGATTTTACCAAAGAATTTATTATAACAACAGATGCGAGTAATTTCGCAGTAGGAGCAATTTTATCGCAGGGTAAGGTTAATCATGATCGTCCAATAGCGTTTGCTAGTAGAACTCTAAATAAAGCAGAACAAAATTATTCAACTTCAGAAAAAGAGCTAACTGCAATCGTCTGGGCAGTAAAACATTTCCGTCCATATATTTTTGGCACAAGATTTAAAATTGTTACAGATCACAAACCCCTACTCTATATATTTAATATCAAAGACCCTGGTTCTCGTTTGACGCGTTTTAGAATAAAACTTGAAGAATATGACTATGAAATAATTTATAAAGCTGGAAAGATTAATACAAATGCTGATGCATTGAGTAGAATAGTTAGCACAACAAATGTCAATTCTATTATTACCAATTATGATAATTTTAAAACACATCTCGAAAGCCATATAATTATTAATTCCAAAGTCAAAGAAAAAAACACAAATCTGTTTGAAACACCACAACTTATACCTATAGTTTTATTTTTGCCAAAATTATTCAACAAAAACGACTTTAAAATTCTAGAAAAAAATAAACAAATTAATACATTTTTAGAACATTACGATAACACAAATCCTTTAGACATGCCGTCAGTTTTTCAGTATCAACAAAATAATTGTAATATATTTCTATTAACAGACAACGAAAATACATTCAGTGATATTAATTATGAAAATATTTGGTCTTGCTTACTAACTTTACGAAATATTATATCCAACGAAAAAACCGAACTATCATTTATAAAATATCATTACAACTCATTAGTCAAATGGGAAATCGTTCTTCCTATGATAAGATATATTTTTAAAGACCTCTATTCAGAAATTACAATATTTAACAACAGTCTTATCAACCCCTCAGATGCTGAAAAAGTTGTATTATTAAATGAAAATCACAATTGTCCATTAGGAGGTCATCAAGGGTCATCCCGCACATATAAAAAATTATCTCAATTATATACATGGAAAGGTATGAAAAAAGACATAAAAGAGTTTATAAAAAAATGTGAACTTTGTCAAAAAAATAAACAGTCTCGAAAAACAAAAATGCCTATGGTAATTACGACCACGGCATCAAAACCGTTCGAAAAATGTTTTTTAGATATAGTTGGACCACTACCAGAAACCGAAAATGGTCACAAATACATATTAACCTTTCAGGATGATTTAACAAAATATATAATTAATATACCTATGAGAAATCAAGAAGCTGTAACTGTAGCGCATCATTTTGTAACGAATATTATATGCATTTACGGAATACCTGACATGCTAGTCACAGATCAGGGGTCAAATTTTTTAAGTGATATTTTTAAAAGTACTTGCAAGTTTTTAAAGATAAAAAAGATCCAAACAACAAGTTATCACCCAGAGTCAAACGGAGCACTAGAACGCTCTCATAAAGTTCTAGAAGAATATTTAAGACACTTCATTAAGACATCTCAAACAGACTGGGATAATTGGATTCCCTATGCAACATTTACATATAATACTACACCTCACACTGCTACACAATTTTCTCCATTTGAACTTTTATTCGGACATATTCCTACATTACCAACATCAGTTAAACAACCACCTAAAGTCAATTATACTTATGATGATTTCATAAACAATCTTAAACAAAAAATGCAACATTCTAATCAATTAGCTAAAGAAAACTTATTAAAATGTAAAAACATATCAAAAAATAATTACGATAAAAACAGTTATACCAGAATATTCGAAATTGGTGACAAAGTGTTACTTTACGACGAATCAGTTCGACGTGGCAGAAGTAAAAAACTTTCCGCCTTATGGATTGGTCCATATACCATTATAAAAAAAATATCAGATGTAAATTATACAATTCAAAAAGGAAAAAATAAACAAACTATTCATGCAAATAGATTAAAATATTTTTATTATTAAAACTAAACATAATCAGTATATATAGATTATAAAAACTAGAATTAATAAATTTTAATTAGCTTATTATTAGTATATATATTTTGTTTTAGGGTTAATTTATTTATAATAATTACCAGTATCCTAGCAGTAGTCCACTCAGAATACAATATAACCACTTATGACTTGAACCCTGGAATACACTTTGAGCACCTGGGCGAACTAAGGTTTTTTAATAACAAATGGAAACTAGTAACTTTTGTAGAATTAGAAAATATTAGTAATAAGTTATTATCATTAAAGAATTACCGTAAGTATACTACAGATTTATGCAATAATGAGAATGCTCAATATCACTATTATATTTGTCAGTTATTTTTGAAAAGTTCTAAATACACTTTCGAAAAAATTGAAAAAGAACTAGAAGTCTTACACGAATTGATCGGTCATAGTCATTTATCAGAAAGTAGACAAAAACGAGGTTGGTTCAATATTGTAGGAAAAGCAACTAAAGTTTTATTCGGCGTTTTAGATGAAGAAGATGCTAAATACTATAATGATAAAATTTCACAAATGAATAAAGACGAAACTTCAGTCCTTCAACTTTTAAAAGAACAAACAAAAATTGTTCAATCAACAATAATTAATTTCAATAATACTATTGGAACTTTAGATTTTAACGAAAATTTATTAAAAAATAATATAAAAAAGATTAGCGATGAATTAAGCAAAGTCAAAGAAAATTTTCATTTTCTATATATAAAAACCGGCATAGAAGAACACGTCACTATTTTAAATATGATGCTAAATCAATTACAATTAGAAATCATGACGATTACGAATGCTATTTTAGTAGCAAGAAAGGGAGTTTTACACCCCTCAATATTAACGCCATTAAGGTTAATTAACGAATTAAAAGATGTGTCCGAATCTCTACCTCATGGATTAGAATTTCCTGTACCATTAGATCCGCTCAATGCAAATCTCATTCTAAATGTTATCGAGTTGCAAGTTTATTTCGAAAACAAACGATTAATATATATTATAAACATCCCTTTAATTGAAACAAATTTATTCTATATTTATAAAATATCACCCTTTCCAAAATTAATGTCAAATAACCAGTTTATATTAATTCAACCCTCATCTAAATATATAGCAATTGACGAAAGCAAACAGCAGTTTATTACACTGTCGGAAATAGAATTTAATACTTGTTTAAAAATTATAGAAAATAAATTTATTTGCAAGCAACAAAAACCAGTTTCTCTTGCTCATTTGGCAGATAATTGCGAAGTTAAATTATTGCAATTCACAAATATCATACCTGATATCTGTGACAAACGTATAATTCAGTCAGATAGAGCAATTTTTATTCAACTACAAACCAGTAACACTTGGTTATTTGCAGTTCCTCATCCAGAAACTCTTACGATATCATGTAATAATAAAAAAAATCACGTAGATGTAATACTAAAAAATTGCGGTAGTGTCACTATAGGTAAACAATGTAAAGCTTATAGCGCATCATCAATGCTAATCCCTCATGGAAATACAGTCCAGTCCAATATTTCAAGTGATTTTATTCCACCATTCGACATTAGTGATAATTGTTGCGAAAGGATAAAGGAAGAAAAAATAAACATTAGTGAAATATTTCTCAACGAACATTATAGGAAATTAACAAAGCACATCCCCGAACTTAATGTAGCGAGCCATAAGCTAGAAGATATTGAAAAGTTAGGTGATGAAATTCTAAAAAGGAAACTTGTAAACAATTATACATTTCCAGCATCTGTAATTGCCTATATCTTAGCTCTTCTTGCTATTATTTTTATTATTTATAAATTGTATACAAAATGTACTAACAAGACAGCCTGTTGCGGAATTATTCCAAACTTATGCATTAGAGTTAATCAGTCTGTGGAACCATCTTCTAGAAATAGTGATAGATATGTTGCTCATTATAATCGTAATATTAGCCAAAACTCTGAAAATGTAGGTAACTATGAAAACTCCGAAGAAGAGAATGTTAATTTACAGGCGCCCTCGCGCAGACCCATTGGGTATGTACCATCAAGGCGACCATTAAAAGAAAAATAATTTCCGCATTTGATACATTTTTAAATCTGCAATAGTTATAAAAAAAAATGTTAGTTAAGTTAGAATGTAAGTTAGTTATAATTAGTAGTTAAGACTTGTATAATACTTTTATATATGTACTTTTATTCATTTCCATCTGAGTTATACTAATTAATTATATAAACATTTGTTTTGAGATTTCATATCACTTTCACCTCATGAAATCTCTCATTAAGGGGGGAGGTGTTGTGAACATACATTTAATATGGTTATATGTATATGTATATTCGACAAATTGTATAAAATATTATTTTTACCCTTATTCTACGGCTATGCCTAAAGAATTTAAGGTACGAAAAATACCATCAACATTATTATTCTTCTCAGAAAGATGGGTGATGCAAATAAACAGAACCATTACCTTAAGATGAAATTTGGAAGAAATAGTCATAAATAGTTGCATCATTTTTAGTTTTCCTTTGTAATTCGTTTACTTTCAGACGCGATGTCTGGTTTCTATTTACTTAAGAAATGGTCATGTTTGTCCCTTTGCAAACCTACCTGAAAATATTATTAAGAAATAGTAGGTACGCCCGTGGATTTTCGGAGAGGGCATTCTCATAAAAGCACGGTCACAGAAGGGACCGGGAACATTCATAAAAATTTTTCATAGACGTAATACTGCTAAATTTATATTTTGTATTAAAAGTTTAAAAATAAAAAGTAATAACAACTTAGTAAGAATTTAATTATAAAAAAAATAAAGAATAACATTCCCAACAAGTGGTGATACGAGTCAAATAGAGAACTACAACATTGGTGGCAGCGACTACAAGATTGGTGACGACGGTGGTCCAATCCAGGATCACGACAGACAGCGATAATACAAATTTAAAGAAGAAAGAAAATTTAAGAAAAATATTTCGTTTATGTAAAATGGTACAGTAGTATAGTAAAGAGAAAAGCATATTCTGAAAATATTTCTAGTAAAAAGTTATAATGGATATTTTTCTTACGTCGCCGTCTCGCTTCGGATGCTGGCGATCCAACTGGCTATGATGGTGCGTGAAACCGCACCTCTGAAAATTTGGGAGCGCCAAGAATTTCCTAATTCTACTTTTTCCTAATATTACGATTGCGTCCGAACATCTTCGGAAAGTAAAAAACACTGTTGCCAGTATTCTCATATTTTCGTAAGTATATCAGACAGAGTGAATTATTGTTCGTTACTGAACGGAGTGAATTATTGTGAATTGAAAATGGAAGGATTATTTAAAAAGGAAGCCAGAAGGTAGGAAATTTCATTTGTGCTTATCTTTTGTAGTTATGTATTAAAAAAACAAAATATTCAGTATCCATAATATTTCGGTTTACTTCTATAACTTGATTAGCATGTATTTAAGTGCAAGGTAATTAATTAATTTGTAATAAAATACTTTCAGATCCTCTCAAAGTGGAGGACAAGTACTGGCAGCTGGATAATCCAACTCCGATTGGATCCGCAATTATATGAAGATATAGATGTGAAAATAATAATAGTGGAATATATTAGCGGTAAGTAAAAATAAGTACCTCGGTCTCTGTCTCGGTCTTATAGTTTTGACAGTAGTTGGCTCCCAAATAATTTAAAATGAATTATAATTTTAATTCGTAATGAATAATGTGTAACGTAAATTTTTATCTATATATTTTTACAGATTATTGCCAAGAAGGTGATTTCTAGTAGTTCGAGCAGCAACGGTGGCAAAATGGTGTCTAGTTAGTTACCATAGTTACAATAGAACAAAAAGGTATGTACTTCTGTATGTACCTTTTTTAAAATGGAAAAGACACATTTCTTTCCTAGACTTAATAATTAAAAATAAGATTATTAACATTTTAAATTATATTCACTTTGGGTAGATATTGTTTTAAATAATAATATGTAATGTATTTTACCCAATCTTTAATTTGACGGTGTTGTTAAATCCATTACTCATACATTTTTTGTTTATAGGTAGGTGTAGGTATACCTACGCTCACCTTCAGTAGCAGTTTTTCACCAGCCACCCGCAGTTCGCAGTCACTAGAATACCAGAGGGACTACGGTTTGATTTATTTTATTTTATCATACATTTATATTTTATAATAAACCATTTCATATAATACCAACTTCCATGCTTTATTTTGACCGACTTAAAGTTCATGAATAAATTCGAAATATTTTGAAAAATTTCCTTACTAAGGTCTTAAAATTGAATTGCAATATCATTTACGGGGTGGTAAAAGGTTGAGTTGGGGGAAAATGTTTTTTCTAGTACCTTAAACTTCTTCAGTAAACTCAAAATAGCCTAAAAAACGTTCCTTAGATTCTCTCTAATTAAAATACAAAATTATTTAATTGTGATGTTCTGGGTAATTTTATAAATAAAATACTCTTTGACTCCAGAACATTTATTTTTTTTCAGTTAACCCAGAGAATAGTTAACCTCTAAATTGACTCTAGGGATTATTGCCATTATTAGAATTCTCAGCTCTTATTTATTTAATTATACCATAGGCAACCAATAATACACACTCTAATGACATCATATATCTTTAATTTTGAAAGCTCTAAACATATATAACTATTTAAATTTTGCTGTGTATATGACGGACCTTGATTCTGAAAAGAATTAATTATGTTAGAAAGTCACTGCACATAATATGTTTTTAAAATATATTTACCTTTGTATGTTTCCCGCTTCTCCTTCGTGATGCTTGTGCTATAACATTCTAATGTTCTAAAAAAAACATTAACTGTCAAAATTACAATTTTGTTTTAATTTCCAATAAAATTAGTTTGTTTTTCTGCTTCATCTGTCTCTTTTCCCTTCACCCTTCCTCACAAGAGTTATCAGTTATATAAAAATGTTTAATTTAATTTCCAGTTAATCGCCATACCACACCACTAATTATTATTTCTTGTTTCCGATTAAAAATATTATCAATACTCAATGCGTCTGCATAATTATTAGAGATGAGCAGAAAATCGCAAACTGCGATTTAATCGCAGCGATTGTAAATTCGCAATCGCAACCTGTGATTCCTTTCCATAGCAAACTGCGACTTGCGATTGAAACATATATCTGCCGATTTTGGATTTTTAGGCAACCAATATTACACCAGTTGCGATTTGCAATCGCAGTGGGCACGCGAACGAGCTGCGAACGAAAATCACAGCATTGCGATTTTCGTTCGCACCGGCGTTGCATCGACACGGCACTGAGAAGCCGAACGATGAGCTGCGAACGAAAATCGCAATATTGCGATTCTCGTACGCCCCGGCCGGCGGCGGCGCGTCTTCAAGACGGCAGTGGACAGGCGAACGAGGAGCTGAACGAAAATCGCAGCTCATCCCAGCATTGCGATTGCGATTTTTGTTGGCACCGGCACGCCAACGAAGAGCGGCGATTGCGATTTTCGTTCGCAGCTCCCAACACATCGGCCTAGACTAGATCGCAAAATCACATTCGCAATCAGGGCCCCGTAATTTTTATGAAGCGTTGGAAAATAGGCTTATATATGTTTATATACCGCATAATATATATAATTTATTAGTTTTAAATTTTGATAATAGTTTTAGATTTATAATATAATTATGGATTGAGAAGGTTAAAAAATTCTTGTTTTCGGTTATGACTAATTATAGTTACAGTTGCTCCCAGGTAATGATTCAGGTAAAATGATTCATAAGGACAGTTTTGGATTCAAATTATAAAAAATTATCTATTTTTATCCTTTATTTACTAGAAGATATAGAGCACGGAAAAGAAACAGCCCTTTTTATTTATTATATTTTGTTATATATTATATTATTATAAACATTTTTATAACAATCCATAATATAATATAATTTTCTGAATATACTAACAGTTGGGGATCGGCTGCTATGTTAATTTAAATACATCCTTTACAATCAGTTTTTTCATTTTAGAGAAATTTTAAATATAATAAAATGTGATATTGTCCTAATATTTATCTAAAAGTTCGAATGTTTGCACTTGCACTGGACGGGCCGTATCAAAGTCGTCGGCGTCGGCTTCTTTTGAGTTACATATAAAGAAAATGTTTTTAAAAGAAAACAAGATAAAATAAACAGTATTTTTTCTAGTTATCTGAATTAAAGTTGGCGGCAACCTTTTTTATAATAAATTTTTCGTTAGTATACCTACTGTCTAAAAGCACATTCGAATATTTTGAACATTTTATGTAATTTTAATTTCCCTTTTAAATTTATTCGGTCTGTTCTAATCAAAAATGTTTAAAAAAAGGAAACTAAGTTATTTGTGGATTTTTTTTTGGTAGGTAATTGATGAAAATTTTAAGTGCAATATGTGTGCAGCAAAAGTATGATAAAAAACACGCACTACAAATTTTAAAAGGCACATGGCATCGAAACACCCAACAGTTTCTTTGTAAGTTTTTATTAAAAAAAAATTATTACGCTATTTATTCTGTTTTTTATTAGAAATTTTGGGTTTGAGCTTCCCAGATTACAGCGTACCAATTTAAAAATATCAAAATCGCAATCGCAGGTTACAGTCGCAGCGATTTATATATCACAATCGCAGTTTCAACTGCGATTGGAAAATCGCAGTTTTGCTCATCTCTAATAATTATAATATTTTATTTTTATATCACTTTCTAACTTAACGTATGGAGCACCTGGCCAGCTTCTAACTTTTCGAGTCTCAACTCTCGATAGCGACTGCGAGGAGCGACGTTGACAAATTTAACACGTTTTTTTCCTTCATTTCATGTAGAATTTACATCTCAAGGATTTCGATCCATGCCGATGACGGCCGAACCGAGTAGGTCGGGCGAAAATTAGAAATCTCGCGCAGTAGGAAAAAATCACATTAGGATTTTTTACGCCATCTTTCAATCGATGTTCTTACAAACCAACGACGCCGATCCTTAAGCCAGGAGTTTTGCCTTCTTCCCACTGATCTCCTGCCGTCAATTTTGCCTTCAATGACCAGTCTGAGTACCTCGTATTGTTCACCCCTCATGATGTGACCGACGTACTGTAACTTTGTTTCCTTCACTGTTGATAGGAGCTCTTATCTTTGCCCATCCGCCTGAGCACCTCCTCATTTTTCACTCTATCCAGCCAGGATATACGCAGCATACGACGATACAAGTACAGGGTGGGTCAAATTCGACGCTTTTAAATGGAAACACCCCTTTCTATAGGAGATAGACAAAAACTAATATCGGTGTCTGGAGCTCAATTTTTGTCAAAAACATGATGGTGAAAACCGAATATCGATATCTGTTACCGTTTCGGAGTTACGGGGTGTTTTTCAAAAATATGCATTTTTAATAAACCGCTGTAACTTTTTTGGTATGGAAAATTTTGTATTTTTATGAAAACATTTCCAAAGCACTTTTTTACGTAGAATTTAATGGTTTAAGTATAATTTTTTTAAAATTAATAATTTAAGAATTATCAACAGAAAATTTGATTTTTTATATGGGACACCCTGTATATTTTTAATTTATTGAAAAGATGATTTTTTTATTATTTAATTTTTTTTCCTTTCCAGAAATATAACACACTTGATATTTTGCTCGATTCGTCTTCGAGATATAGAGTATATAAAAATGCGCCCCCATTAAATAAGTAGGCTTTGAACGGCACCGGCTGTAAGGCAAAAAAATTAAAATTCTAGCATCAATTAAAACGAAAATAATATTTGCTATGAGAAATGCAGAATCTTATAACAATTTAAAATATATTTAACCAACATCAACAGATTTAAACTATATCTAATAACAATAAAAATAAATAGCAAACCAAGACATGAGATTTTGCTATAGGTGTTCGACATATCGACCGTCTTCTGTTATGGACAGACGGGGCAGTTTTTAAACATTTCTCGCGGAATTCATTAACTCAGTAGGGGTGAAAGATACCTTTTCATAACTGCTAAGTATTTCTAATTCTTTTCTAGATTATACGGAGGAATAAGAAACCTTTATTCTTCCGCAAATATATCCATAGGATTAGATCCGTGGTCAATAAGTCAGGCAGCCTCGACGGCCAACGGCTGGGATCTTGGTTAACTATTCAATTATTCTTGAAATTGGTTGCAAAAATTTGCTGATAACTTCAGCATTCAGAGGCGGTGCGTCATTTTGCTGGAAAAATATGTTTTCGAGTTCCATTAAGGGCATATCATCAATACGGGGTCCAAAGCCTACTAGTTAAAAGTGGCGAACTTTTAAAAATTCTGTATTTCGAAGGGGATTATAACAAAATATCAAGTGTGCTATATTTTTGGAAGGTAATTTTATATTCTTTTCAGTTAATTAAAAATATAGAGGGTGTCCCAAATAAAAAATCAATTTTTCTGATGATAACTCTTAAATTATTAATTTAAAAAAAATTATACTTAAACCATTAAATTCTACGTAAAAAGGTGCTTTGGAATTGTTTTCATAGAAATACAAAATTTTCCATAGCAAAAAAGTTACAGGGATTTGTTAAAAATGCACATTTTTGAAAAACACCCCGTAACTCCGAAACGGTAACAGATATTGATGTGCGGTTTTCACCATCATGTTTTTGATAAAAATTGAGCTCCAGACACCGATACCAGTTTTCTATAGAAAAGGGTGTTTCCATTTAAAAGCGTCGAATTTGACCCACCCTGTACATCTCAAAAGCATTAATATGGTTTTGCAATGTCTGATTGAGTGTCCAACTGTCAGAGCCGTAGAGAAATACTGGAAAGATGTAGCAACGCAGCATATGTATGCGCAGTTCGAGACTTAGAATCTCGGCTGGAGAAGAGGGTTTTCATTGGTTTTCATGGAAGCAAAAGTACGTCTGGCCTGTTCGATCTTCGCCAAAATTGTTTCTTTTGCAAGGTCTCCATTTCACTGCACTTGTCTGCTAGCCAACACTCCTTTGTTCTTCGACATTCAGTTCGCACAGCCCTGTTCGGCTCCTTGTATCGTCAATTGTCTCAATGGACACTAGTGATGTAAACTTTAGTTACTTATATGGACTCGTAACTACTAGTTACTTTTGGTAATAGGACTCGTTACTTTAGTTACACGTTACTTTGGTATTTAGTATCGTTGTTTTGCGTCCAGGTTGGAAGACTTGGGCTTGACTTGGAACTTCGTTACTTTTTGCGCGGCGCGCTTCATTGCGTGCTCGGTTTAACCTATAAGGGGTTTCTACTTTCTTCTAGTGTAAGGGCTTAATAGGATAATTTCAATACTCGGTATTCAAGTACTAAATAATACGTTTTTAATAATATGTATAATATTTTTATAATATGTTATCACTATGTATTAATAAAATTAAAAATAAAAGAAAACAAATCAAACAAAGGAAAATATGTGTATAATATAAAGTATTTTCTCTCTCTCTCTCTCTTTGTATTTTACATTAATAATTATGCAAACATTAAAGAGTAAAAATAAAAAAAAAAGTATATATTTTTGTTAAAATGGAAAAATATTTAAAACATGTCTATTCCTCTGTGACGGATTCATCTCTTCAAAAAAGTCCTTTGGATTAACGCAGCCCCCAGTGTTTACAAAAAATTACTATTTTTATTTTGTAGACTTTCTTACAGTGTAAGTGGCGAAATATCTATTCTTTTTTGAAGAGGAAACCTATTTGCTCTGCTTTTTCAGATGTTAATTTTTTTTGTGAATAACGTGAATCTATTTTAATTAATATCTAAGACATATTAATCTAAATAAACAATTTTATTCTTTTCCCACCGAGCAACTATAAATCAAAAAATAAAACACACTCTACCCCTAAATAATATCTTATATGACTTATTTCAACCAAAATTGAAAAAACGTGCGGAATTACCTAAATAAAAAGCGACAACAAACGGCAAAAGGACAGACCGCCGATGGGTCGGCATGAGCCAATCATAATAATAATTAATAATTGTAATAAAAATATCACACATTTGCCATCCAAAACACCGGCCGGTGTCAAGTCAACTCTTTAAACATAAACATATTGATAAAAACTAGACCTACGTCGAAGTAACGAATATTTCAGTATCGAGTTTCGAGTCCTCGGTTCGTGCATTTCCAGGTATTACGATTACTGCCAGCGCAAAAGTAACGAATTGGCTTAGTAACGAGTAACGAGTCCTAAATCCAAATGGTAAGCGTTACTTCGAGTCGTCGTAAAGTAACTGTTACTTTGTAACGATTACTTAGAATTTTTACATCACTAATGGACACTGGTTACCATATAGAAAAATAAAAATATTAGAGGTTGAAGCTAGTGATGCTTGGATTTTCAGTAAAATGCATATACGAAACCCATGCATTAAACGCATTGAATAAATAAATATTTTTAAAAATGATTTTTTAACGAGAAAGATAGTTATTACAGGATTTTTTTAATAATATCTATAAATATTATTAAACATTTAACTTCATCTTTGTAATTTTTGCAGTAATATAAATATTTTTACAATTTAGTTGGTGTTAAAGTAGGCAGGAAATAAAAGTCTCTTAAAGTTACCTTTAAAAACTTTATGAAACTTTATTGTTGAAAGTTTATTTTAATATAAGACAGTAAAAGTTTCTTCTTATAAAGTACTTAATAATAATAAGTCTATCTGGAAATAAATTTAAAGAAATATTAGCCAAACTTTGTTTTAGTTCAATGGTATTTCTGGTATTATTTTATTTTATTTTTTTTGGTCATTTGAGGTCCGTGCCGTCGGCTTGACCTATATGAGATTACCCTCTTGTATTTTCAGCTCTTTGGTCGTCTATCCCTATCTAATCATTTCCTCTCCCCCACTTCCACGTGTCAAGCGACCCCCGCCGCCGTGCCAGCACCGCGCGCAATCTCCTAGGCCACGCGGCAGGTGGTCCATGTTCAGTACGCTTCTGTATTTCCAGCGATGCGTTTCGTCTATCCCCTAACGGCGTAGTTCCGTTCGAAATAATTTATTCGTGATTGTTTAAAGTGCAGTGTGTGCTCATAAAAGTAAGTCATTATTATTTTTTATTTTATTGCAGTTTTGGTTTATTTTAACACAGAAATGATGTATTGTTTTTAACGGCGTCTCTCGACCCGTTCATTAACAACAATTCGCTGCTCCTACTTAAAGAATAAGTAAATAAATAAATAAATCGGCGTTTTCTGACCCATTTATTTATATTTAATTTATCGCACTGCTATCTGCTCTCGATAATTGATATTACGGCCTGATTTGAGGAGCCGTACGGGCTGATTTGACGAGCCTTACGGGCTGATTTGAGAAGCCGTACGGGCTGATTTGACGAGCCGTACGGGCTGATTTGAGAAGCCGTACGGGTTGATTTGACGAGCCGTACGGGCTGATTTGACGAGCGATACGGGCTGATTTGACGAGCCGTACGGGCTGATTTGACGGGCCGTACGTGCCGATTTAAGGAGCCTTACGGGCTGATTTAACGATAGCTGTACTGGCTGATTCGAGCATGTACACAGCTTCTCACGAAGCCTTAGTTTTTTTCTAATGGCTCTCTTTCCTTGTTCTAGATGCTGTCTCCGAGCACAGAACACTTTACTTCAATTTTGGAGTTATTTGATCTGCCCACAGACGATGAGAAGGATCAACCAGTTTTGGAAAATCTGAAAAAACTGGCCAAGGATTCGCTTCCAAAAGGTTGGGAGAACTGGAAGGTGGCATGCTATGATAGGGAGGTTCTCTTCGGAGAGTCCGTTGATCCCAGCATACTTAATAAACTCCGTTTTGCCTTACCAACAGTTGGCATTGCTAAAGCATTTAATCCCAAAGCCCACAGTTTACCAGAACAAGTTTACAAAAACTACAAACTCCGGATGCTATCTTGGCCACTGTGTGTGGCGTTAATCATCGGGCCTCCTTCATTATCATCACGCATTCGAGGTTCATCCATCCACCATGAGTTGGTTCTGGCGGCTATAAGTGACCTTAAGCCGCTCCTGATTTCTCGTGAAAAGGCTTGTCTTCACCTTCAGAGTTACGACAAAGATACTAATCTGTGGGACGATGAAGAGGGCTGCTCAACATCGACTTCGTCGAAACCCAAGAAAGAATCACGCTTGGAAAAGATGGAAAGGGATCATAATGAATTGAAAGAAATGTTCATGAATTTTATGCATCGTTTTCAATCTCAACAAGATGCTATGGACAATAATGAATCGGAAGATAACGAAGCTCTCTCTATAGAGTCTTCGGATAAAGATGAATCTGATATTTGGGAACCACCCACATCTCCAACTTCTCATTCGAGTCAGAGCCACAATCATCCGGAAGAGGAATTGGATTTTGAACCAAGGACACAAGAAATAGAACCGTCTGTCTCAGCGGCAAAACATCACATTGAGCAGCAGGGTATAGAATGCCAACGGTTAGGGTTGTCATCCTTCAATAAAATTAGATATGTAGATGCGCAGAAGAAACTACAAGCTTCACCGGTTTTTGGACCATTAAAAACCAATTATCAATTAAAGAACTTAGTGCCAAAAACTTCAGTTCCTGAACTTTTGGCAAAAATGGATGGCTCTTTTGGGACAATTACCCACGGACTCCTCCTTCAACGGGATAGTTTTTCTCAAGGTATCAAGGAACTAGTGACTAAATTTCCACAAATCAGACAGGAAGCTGGTAATATCCTGTGGGGTCCTGACTCACAGTTTAAGCAAAATTCTAACGATCTGCTACAATTCGTGTGTGGTAAAAGAGCCGAGACAATAGAATTGCGTAGAAAATTGTTCAGACCTCGAAATGACATGGTGGCATCGTTACTGAACAACATACCTCCATCCAAATCCCATCTCTTTGAGGAAGCTGAATTATCGGAACTGTTTAAGCAGCACCAGTCATCTTTTAGACCGCCCTTTCGTTCCTCAAAGTTTGACAACCAAAACAAACATCCACAAGGTACATTTCGAAAGCCCCCAACTCATCAAACGGGATCCAGACACAAAAATTTTCCAAAGACATCAAAAGATTTCAACAAGAATGCACCAACCACTTCCAGAGGCAAGCCCAGAGACAAGCCATACACTAGATTCTCCAACAAAAACAATAAAAGACAATGACTATACACAGTTCAAAGGAGGACGCTTGCAAAATTTTGTGGCGAAATGGGCAGAAATGGGGGCACCAAGTTATGTTCTAAAAACAATAAAGGGCTACTCCATCCCTTTTGTATCCAAGCCCCCTTTGATACACCTATCAACGACAAAATTGCGACGACCTGCCCTATCCAGTATGAACAACAAAATAGACGATCTAATAAAACAAGATATAATAGAGCCATCAGCCGAGAGGACTGCTTTCGTTTCGACAATGTTTCCGGCTATAAAACAAGACGGCTCAGTTCGCCCAATTTTCAATTTAAAAGCGCTAAATTGCTACCTTCAGCCAAAGAAATTTCGTCTAATCCATCATCAAAAAGTCCCAAATTTTCTCCAAGATCAAGACTATATGGTAAAATTGGATCTTTATCAAGCCTATTTCCACATTCCAATAAAGCACCAACACCGCAAATTCTTAACCTTGTTTCACAACAATCTATTCTATCAAATGACTTGTCTCCCGTTCGGACTTTCAACAGCGCCGCTTGTCTTCGCAAGAATATCCAACTGGATGGCGAGTGTTCTCAGAAAAAGAGGTGTCCGAGTAATAGTTTACCTGGACGATTTCCTTCTGGTAAACCAAGACCTGTGCACGTTAAGAGATCATCTCAGCATGGCATTCGATCTGTTCAGAACGTTGGGATGGGTTATCAATACCAACAAATCCACGGAAAATCCAACAAAACAGATTCAATTTCTGGGAATTCAGTGGAACACAGAAGCTGGAAGCATTGCTTTACCAAAAGCCAAAAGGGACTCTCTGAGAAAGGATTTGAAAAAAATCGTAATAACCGGGCGGTGGAATTGGGCAGATGCGAAAAGAATTTTGGGAAAAGTCAACTTTGCCTCATTTGCGATTCCTCTAGGAAGGCTCCATTCTCGACGAATTCAGATATCGGCCCGGTGTCTACCAGAATGTCTTCCTCAAAAAGTATTTCTGGTTCCAAGAATTGTACTAAAAGAGTGCCACTGGTGGTTGCAAAACTTAACAAAAACAAGTCATCTGTTTCCAAAGAATCCTCAAGTCTTTCTGACCACCGATGCTTCAGACTTAGGTTGGGGGGCACAAGTCGACGACAGGTCACTAGAAGGTTCGTGGACACCCCAGCAAATGTCCTGGCATGTAAACAGGAAGGAATTGTACGCCGTCCTGGTTTCAATCAAAGAATCGTCGGAGTATCTAACAGGAAAATCGGTCCTTATACAGACGGACAACAAAACAGTGGTAGCATACGTGCGAAATCAAGGAGGAACTCGATCGCTAATCTTACTAAAGATGGTAACCGAATTGCTGACAATGGCCGCCAATTTGAATATATCTCTGTCGGCTCAATTTATCCCGGGGCGCTACAACGAACTAGCGGATGGCCTATCCAGAAACAGACAATTAGCCGATTGGCATCTATCAAGTCAAATAACTCACCAGATTTTCCAGAAATGGGGAAAGCCCGAAATCGACCTATTTGCCAGCAAGAAATCGAAGATTGTTCAGGATTATGTCACAATGGATTCCAGAGATCGTCACGCGAAATTCATAAACGCTTTCAGTCAGAAGTGGGTGTACAAGTTAGCCTGGATTTTCCCGCCCCCGTCAGTCATACCTCGAGTCCTTCAACACCTCAACTCTGCACAGGGGACATTCCTGTTGACGGTTCCTCGATGGGAGAAGGTGTTCTGGCGGGCGGATTTAAGACGCAGGGCAATTGCTCCACCATTCCAAATCAGGAATCTTCATCTTCATCTCACCGATATGTCAACGTCGCTTCCTCCACCACAAGTTCAAAAATTAAAATTGGAGGTCTGGAAGATACGGGGTGGCCTAAATATATAAGCTCTTGGTCGGAAGAGGATAGAACACTTTTGGAAAAATCCTGGCGTGAGTCAACTCTCAAAACCTATGCAGGACCTTGGAAATGCTGGTTAAAATACGCAAAACAGGAAGGTTTTTTACCAGATAACCCTTCTTCAGTGAATATATGTCAATACCTGGGTTACTTGCACAGAGTTAAAAAATTTGCCCCTGCAACGATTAAAGTGCATAAATCAGTCATTGCGACATTCATAGATCCAAGCAAAAGTGACTCTACTATCACAAACAATGCACTTGTGAAACGCATGCTACGTGCTATCGACTTGAGCCGCCCCCTTTCGAACATCAAATGTATATGGGATGTAAACGTAATAGTTGATTTCATGGAGAATATAGATCTAACTACATCTAGTTTATTCGAGGTTTCTCGCCATGTATCTCTTATCTTATTATTGGCTTCGGGCCGAAGAATCCACGATCTTACATTGCTAAGGATCTCCAGAGAGAGTTACAGAGACGATGGGTCCTCGTTAATATTTTGGCCGGTTTTTGGATCCAAAACGGATAGCGGTACTCATAAGCAATCTGGCTGGAGGTTGTCTAGCTCAGAAAATAAGTTCTTAGACCCTGTATTCTGGGTAAGGAAATTAATTGTTTTATCAATGGATAGAAGAGCAGCAGGAAAAAATGTGACGAGCTTGTTTGTAACAACTAGAGGAAAGGCAGGACCGGCATCAAGAGCCATCATAACTGGATGGGTTAAGACAGCCCTGACAGAAGTCGGTATACTCTCATCACCTGGTAGTATAAGGTCTGCCGTGGCATCATCTCGTTTAAATAACGAGATTCCTCTAGATACTATTTTGAAACAAGGAAACTGGAAAAGAAAAGAGAATGTCTTCAAATTCTATTTCAAAGAAGTTACTCGAAACCAAAATTCAAATAGCAGCAACAAGGCTCGTGAGCTGATCCAAGAGACTTTTTTACCCATATAAGACTGTTTTAGTTAGGTATCTCAACCTTAATAATATAGTAATTAAGCTAATTTTGTTACGCTCAAATTTTTATCCGTTGTCACATTAAACCTGAAATTCGTTAAGATTTATTATGTTTTTTTTTTCAATATTTCTATGAAGGAGAATTTTATGTTGTGTTTGCATTTGTTTTTGTTTTTCTTTTTTTTAAATAAACCAATGTTCTTCAGTTCATACGAATAATTTACTCCCCCCCTGAAAATGTGTTGCTTTTAATAATTATTATTAATCACAGTACGCATTCCACGTCGTCAGAAACCAAACACTTCTCATATAGGTCAAGCCGACGGCACGGACCTCAAATATAACCGTTTTCCCCACGAAGGGAAGAAAACGGATATTTCAGGTCCTGCCTAGGCTTGACCGCTTTAACCCTTGACGACGCATATGAGAAGGTACTGAACATGGACCACCCGCCGCGTGGCGTAGGAGGTTGCGCGCGGTGCTGGCACAGCGGCGGGGGTCGCTTGACACGTGGAAGTGGGGGAGAGGAAATGATTAGATAGGGATAGACGACCAAAGAGCTGAAAATACAAGAGGGTAATCTCATATAGGTCAAGCCTAGGCAGGACCTGAAATATCCGTTTTCTTCCCTTCGTGGGGAAAACGGTTATATTATTTTTTAAATTATATCGTGTGGAATTTTCACTATAAATCTCTATAATTCGCTGTTGGTTTTACCCATACAGAGAGAAACATTTATGGGGGCCAAACAAACGATTTGAGTTGGTTAAAAAGCACTGGTGTGAAATGTCCAAAACAATATCTCAAAAAGATATTCATATACAGGGTGGCGCACCTCATTCGCCTTGGCTGATTATACGAAAAAGGAAAGATGTAGAAACAAAATATTTTATGAGTATATGTGGGGTGGCAATGTGCACAATTTAAAATTATTTTGAAATGTACAGGGTATTTCAGAACTAAGATTATATTTTTTTTCTTATGGAACACCCTGTATTTTATTTCATTTTTGGATTCTTGGGCCCAAAAAAAGGTATTTATTATAAGAGTTAGATATGTTTAAAATCTTTGGTTTTTGAGATATTTAAAGATATTTAAAAGTGCAGGCTACAATAGAATAGATTATTACACCCTGTATATTGCTTTTCAGAATTAATTCTTGTACTGACCTTTAAGCCAGAAAAATAAACTTTACTGAAAAATTTGATTGCTTTGTTTAATGTATACAGGGGTATCAAAAATTGCTGGTCTATTTTAAATATTTATTTTACATAAAAACTTCGTTATTTCAAATACAACACCCTGTATTTTTTTAAATATATCGAAGCAGATTCAAATGCTTTTTCAAACTATATTAGGGTTTTGTTTTATTTCTCTGTATTTTTACTAATAAAAATACAGAGAAATAAAACATCGTGGCAGCGGTGGGATAAAAGCCAGCGAGAAAAGAAGCCAAAAAAGTCAAGGATTGTAAGAATATTTCAGGAAGTTGGTAGTCACTGTGGTAAACATGTTGAAAAAAGAATCAAAATGGACGTGAGGCTGCCGGAGCAGATGAAGTTTACGGGAAATATAAGCGAAAATTTCAAGTTATTTAAACAAAATTTTGAAATTTTCTTACTGGCAAAAATTCTGAAAATACTTACTTAAAGGGAAGCAAGAAATACAAGATTAAGTAAAAGTAGCTTTGTTGTTAAATTGTATGGGTCAAGAGGCGATAAATGTCTACACTACGTTTTCACTTAATGAAGCTGAAAAGAAACAATACAAGAAGGTCATAGACGAGTTTGGGAAATATTATAATCCGAAAAAAAACGTTATATATGAAAGATATATGTTCTTCTCACGTAAATAAGAAGAGGGTGAAGGAATCGACAAATTTGTGACAGATCTGAAGAAACTAGCGGAAAGCTGCGAGTTCAATGAGCAAAAAGACTCTCTAATAAGAGACAGGATTGTCTTGGGAATCACAAATTTGGGACTACAAGAAAGATTGTTGACTCGTGAAGACTTAAATTTAGAAAAAGCAATAAACGAATGTCGAGTTGCTGAAATATCAAAGCTTCAAATTGATGAAGTGCAGAAAGATCAAAAGCAAGTATATGGAGTTAGAAAAGAAGAGAGAAGAGGATACGAAAAAGAAAATAAGCTGAAGAAAAATGAAGGTAATAA